CACCTGAATATACTTCTGGAGTGAAAAAATATCGTTAACCGGGGGTCCACTGTACAGTGGAACATCAAAAATCAAACTTAATCCGTTCCAGGAGCTAGTTCTAATTTCGAAAAGTCTGAAATTCGAATCAATATTTTCCATAAGAAACAATGGAAATACAATTAATCCGTTCCAGAAACCCAAAAATATTCACACAAAAAAATACATTTTATAGAGATTAATTACAGTTTTACATACATATAAAATAACATACAGGTAAGAGCAGCATGCCAAAGCCACTTATATGCATAGCATTATGGGCTGGCTTAAAATTAACTTAAGATTAACTAAGCAATGATGAAATCAGTGATAAGACATTATTGTAAACAGATAACTATAAAATACAAATGAGTATTACAAAGACAGGTCCTATGGTTGCATGCATTGCTGTTCATTCAGTAGAATGGAGTATTCTGTTAGGTAGTGTATTTAAAAAAAAAAATAACAAAGTTAGGTTTAACATTTGTGTGATATAATTGTGAGTAACATTTAGGATATACAATTTTGTATGGTTCAGTTATTCAGTATTTATTTGGTTTTGAAGTGAGTAAGTGAACTTTGAGAAGAGACTTGAATTTATAAACAGGTAGCGTTTCTTTTATATTTACAGGTAATGAATTCCAGTTTTTTGGGCCTTTTATGTGCATTGAGTTTTTGCATAGCGTGAGATGGACACGAGGAACATCAAAGAGTGATCTGTGCCTTGTATTATGGTCATGTGTTCTGTTGAGGTTGGCAAGGAGATGTTTGAGGGGAGGGTTAATATCAGAGTTAAGTGTTCTATGTATGTAATAAGTGCAATAATAAGTATGGATGTTTTTGTATGGTGAGTAGGTTGAGTGTTTTGAATATTGGTGGAGTGTGCTGCCTGTAGTGAGAATTTGTTATCATTCTAACTGCAGCCTTTTGTTGGGTAATTAGTGGTCTGAGATGGTTAGTTGTTGTTGAGCCCCATGCACAAATTCCATAGGTGAGATAGGGGTAAATAAGAGAGTGATAAAGGGCCAGGAGGGCTGATGTGGAACATAGTACCGTATCTTCGATAGTATGCCTACGTCTTAGAAATTTTCTTAGAAATTTGTTGTATATGTGTATGATATTTGAGTCTATTATCGAGGTGGATTCCTAAGAATTTTCCCTCTGTTAGCTTTGTGATAGGTGATCCGTTTATCGTTATGTTAAGAGGTACATCTGTAGCTCTGCTACCAAACTGAATGAAGTAGGTTTTGTCAATGCTTAGTGTAAGTTTGTTAGTCCTCATCCAGGTAGATATTTTTCTGTAATTCGGTGTTTACAGTATTGGCTAGCGTGACTGGGCTCGGGTGAGAGAAGACGTATGTGGTGTCATCTGCAAAAAGTGTGGGTTTGAGTAATTGCGAAGCATTTGGTAGGTCATTTATGTATAGGAGAAAGAGAAGATGGCCAAGGACACTTCCTGTGGGACACCAACTGTAATTGGTTGTGCGGAAGAGCTTGCCCCATTTGCGTACACATATTGGCTTCTGTTGCTGAGGTAGACTTGAGGTAGTTGAGGGAGTGCCCTCTAATACCATAGTGTGACAATTTACGTGGAGCAAGTCATGGTCAACTGTATCAAAAGCTTTACGTAAGTCAATGAAGATCCCCAGTGGGACTTCTTTTTTCTCTATTGCAGTGTATATATGTTCTAGCATGTGTATAATAGCATATTAGTATTTTTATTAGGCCTGAATCCAAAATTGGCAGGGGTTGAGAATGTTATGGGAGATGAGGTAGGAGTGGATTCGTTTATGAATTAATTTTTCGAAGATTTTTGAGAGAGGGTGTAAATTGGATATTGGCCTATAGTTATTCAACTCTGTTTGGTTTCCTCCTTTATGGATCGGGGTGACCCTTGCTATTTTGAGAACTGTAGGGAAGGTGGAGGATTCAATGGATTTGTTAAAGAGTGTTTGCAATGATTGGTGATAGTACTTGTGACGCTTTTTTGTATATAAAGGGTGGTAAGGTATTTAAATCTCCTGCCTTGTTTTTCAGTGCGTTGATTAATAAGGGAGACTTCGTATGGGTTAGTCGGAGCTAGGAACAGTGTGTTCGGGTAGTTGCCAGTGAGGTAGTCATTTGGTGGGGTATCTGAGCTTGGGATATTATTGGCAAGGTTTTGACCTATAGTGGAGAAGAAATCATTGAGTCTGTTTGCTGTTTCTGTTGGTGGGAGTTGGGGTTCATCTGATTTTGCTAATTTTATTTCGCTATGTCGTGATATCTATTTTGTTCCCAGAATTTCTGATAGGGTCTTCCAGGTCTTTTTTATATCACCTCGTAAGTTGGATAATCTGTTCTCATAATACAATTTTTTTGCCCTTCTTATCAGGCTGGTTAGGATTGACGAGTAACGTTTTGTTTGGTCTCTGGTTATGTGACCCATTCTGTACTGTTTTTCATATCGGTGTTTTGTATTTATGGATTTGAGAATGCTGGGTGTTAGCCAGGGACTGTTCAGTCTCTTAGCTGTCATTTTTTTTTTTTTTTATTATCACACTGGCCGATTCCCACCCAGGCAGGGTGGCCCGAAAAAGAAAACATTAACAGCATAACACTTACCTTTATTGGAGATTCTTCTTAGTGTATGGGAGACTGGAGGAGGAGGAGAGAGTGGATTGTTTATAGTTTGGAAGGGGAATCCCCTTCCATCAACACCTCAGGTACCATTTGCTTTTCTGGGGTTGCTTCTCTTCTCTGTTTCTTAATGCCACTAGGGCCACCTTGAGAGTCACTGGAGTCCTGTCTCACAAAATAACTGTGGAGAGAGCTCTGTTTCTGGCATCTCTTTAACACTTCCCTAAAATGGACCAAGACTTTGTCACTGTACATGTTGCCAACGTGGCTTGCAACAACCTTGTTAGGGTGATGTTTCTCCATAAAGCTTTCCATCTTACCCCACATAGTAAAAATCTCTTAAATTTCTGAAGGCACCTTCTTCCATCTCTCTTCCTCCTCGTCTGCAGCAAGATTCTGAGCTGCGATGTGTTGCTCTTCCTGCTGAAGCTCTTGCAGCTCCTCAGTGGTGAGCTCTTCATTGTGGTCTTCCACCAATTCTTCCACATCCTCCAAACTCACATCCAACCCCATGGAACTCCCCAGTGCCACAATTGATTTTACAACAGACATAGGCTCATTAGGGTCAGTCCCAAATCCTTCAAAATCCCTCTTGTCGACACAATCTGGCCACAATTTTCTCCAGGCAGAGTTCAAAGTCCTGGTAGTCACTCCCTCCCAAGCCATACCTATAAGGGTTATGCAATGGAGGATGCTGAAGTGTTCTCTCCAAAATTCCCTTAGGGTCAAGTGAGTGTCTGTGGTCATAGTCAAGCACCTGTGAAACATTGCTTTTGTGTAGAGTTTTTTAAAGTTTGCAATAACCTGCTGGTCCATGGGTTGGAGGAGAGGAGTGGTATTCGGGGGCAAGAACTTTACTGTGATGAACCCAAACTCCTTGAAAATTAGGTCATCCAAGTTTGGAGGATGAGCAGGTGCATTGTCCATTACTAGCAGGCACTTGAGATCCAATTTCTTTTCCAGGAGATACTCCTTCACACTTGGGCCAAACACTTCATTGAACCACTCGACGAAAATTTCCCTCGTGACCCATGCCTTACTATTAGATTTCCAAAACACACACAATTTACTCTTCATAACATTGTTTTTCCTGAACACTCTGGGATTTTCAGAATGGTACACTAGTAATGGCTTCACTCTGAAATCCCCACTATCATTAGCACAGAACATTAGCATCAGCCTGTCTTTCATAGGCTTGTGTCCTGGCAGTGCCTTTTCCTCTTGTGTAATGAAGGTCCTCTTTGGCATTTTCTTCCTAAAGAGGCCTGTTTTGTCACAATTGAACACTTGTTTAGGTTTCAGTCCTTCAGCCTCTATGTACTCCTGGAATTCATGCACATATTTTTCAGCCGCCTTGTGGTCCGAACTGGCAGCCTCACCATGCCTTACCACACTGTGTATGCCAGTACGGTTCTTAAATCTCTCAAACCAGCCTTTGCTGGCCTTAAATTCACTCACATCACTATTTGCAGGCAATTTCTTTACCAAATGTTCATGCAACTGCCTAGCCTTTTCACAAATAATCGAAGTCATAAGAGTATCTCCTGCTAATTGTTTCTCATTTATCCACACCAATGATAACTTCTCAACCTCTTCCAGTACTGGTGATCTCATTTTTGTCAGCATAGTTACTCCCTTTGCAACAACAGCGTCCTTTATTTCCTTTTTCTTGGCCACTATGGAACATAAGGTTGTGTAAGGTTTCTCATACATCCTGGACAGTTCGGCCACACTTGTACCACTTTCATATTGTTCAATGATGGTTTTCTTAAATTCAATCGTATTTCTCATCTTCTTTACCACAGGCTTGGCACTAGGAGCTTTCTTTGGAGCCATGCAAGCACTAAAATAAATGGAATATTATGAAATATTTCACTGGAGCACGTGAGGGGACCTTCACTCACTGGTAAACAATGCCAGACTGGCTGCCGCCCCGGCTCACGCCGTGGGTACGCGTCCCGGACGAACTACGACTCGCGAGTCAACCTATGAAAAGTGAGTCCATGTTTATACGAAAATACCCCTATGATTGGCGAAATTTACGATTGCCGGGAACTACGAAAAGCGGGGAACCACTGTATATAACTGGCACAGTAATATGAGTACATATTTTGTATATTCAGTAAGTACAAACTTTTGAAGAGTGGGCAGGGGGTGTTGTCTGGCGTAGGAATAGGTGATAATCTGAACAACAGCTTTTCACTGGGTTATTAATGGTTTAAGATGATTAACTGTAGTAGATCCTCAGACACAAACACCAAAGGTGAGGTAAGGGTACATTAGGGAGTGGTACAGTGTAAGCAGTAATTCAGGTAAGGGAAAAACATGAACATGCTTTCAACAAAAGGTACATAATACTGCACCTGATCTAGATTTTTGGCCATAAAGGCAACACACTGATCTCCTAGCCGGGGCAACTGGAACATGCGTGACAGTCGAAGTATGATAATGACGTTGTCAGTGTGAAGTTGAGTGCCGAGATAAACCCCACATTGCCGCTTTAGTCCAGGAACCAACAGCATGTCTGCTGCAACCATAACATCCATTGAATTTTCCATGTTTACCTGCAAACAAAATATATTGTTAAATATGTCTACTACAAGGGCTCAATGGAAAACCAGTGCAAACATGGAACACCAAAAACAGGTGCTGCATATGCAGGGCCTTCCTACTGCATTCATGTCTCCTTTTCCATCAAGCTCCAGTCATTTTTCTTAATCAAAAAAATTTTTTTTTTTTTTTCAACAAGTCGGCCGTCTCCCACCGAGGCAGGGTGACCCAAAAAAGAAAGAAAATCCCCAAAAAGAAAATACTTTCATCATCATTCAACACTTTCACCACACTCGCACATTATCACTGTTTTTGCAGAGGTGCTCAGAATACAACAGTTTAGAATCATACACATATAAATGGTATACCTCCCTGACCAGTGCATGAAATTACTGCCTCTGTTTCTTCCTTAACATTTAAAAGTTTCTCAAAATATTCTCGCCATCTACCTAATACCTCCATCTCCCCATCTACTACCTCCCCTACTCTGTTTTTAACTGATAAATCCATACTTTCCCTAGGCTTTCTTAACTTGTTTAACTCACTCCAAAATTTTTTCTTATTTTCATTAAAATTTCTTGACAGTGCCTCTCCCACTCTATCATCTGCTCTCCTTTTGCACTCTCTCACCACTCTCTTTACCTTTCTTTTACTCTCCATATTACTCTGCTCTTCTTATAACACTTCTGCTTTGTAAAAACCTCTCATAAGCTACCTTTTTACTCTTTTATACACCCTTTACTTCATCATTCCCCCAATCACTCCTCTTTCCTCCTGCCCCCACCCTCCTTAACCACAAACTTCTGCCCACATTCTAATACTGCATTTTTAAAACTATACCAACCCTCTTCAACCCCCCCACTACTCATCTTTGCACTAGCCCACCTTTCTGCCAATAGTCGCTTATATCTCACCCGAACTTCCTCCTCCCTTAGTTTATACACTTTCACCTCCCTCTTACTTGTTGTTGCCACCTTCCTCTTTTCCCATCTACCTCTTACTCTAACTGTAGCTACAATTAAATAATGATCCGATATATCAGTTGCCCCTCTATAAACATGTACATCCTGGAGCCTACCCATCAACCTTTTATCCACCAATACATAATCTAATAAACTACTTTCATTACGTGCTACATCATACCTTGCATATTTATTTATCCTCTTTTTCATAAAATATGTATTACTTATTACCAAATCTCTTTCTACACATAGCTCAATTAAAGGCTCTCCCATTTACATTTACCCCTGGCACCCCAAATTTACCTACTACTCCCTCCATAACATTTTTACCCACTTTAGCATTGAAATCCCCAACCACCATTACTCTCACACTTGATTCAAAACTCCCTATGCATTCACTCAACATTTCCCAAAATCTCTCTCTCTCCTCTACACTTCTCTCTTCTCCAGGTGCATACACGCTTATTATAACCCACTTTTCACATCCAATCTTTATTTTACTCCACATAATCCTTGAATTAATACATTTATAGTCCCTCTTTTCCTGCCATAGCTTATCCTTCAACATTATTGCTACTCCTTCTTTAGCTCTAACTCTATTTGAAACCCCTGACATAATCCCATTTATTCCTCTCCACTGAAACTCTCCCACCTCCTTCAGCTTTGTTTCACTTAAAGCCAGGACATCCAGCTTCTTCTCATTCATAACATCCACAATCATCTCTTTCTTATCATCTACACAACATCCACGCACATTCAGACTTCCCACTTTGACAATTTTCTTCTTCTTATTCTTTTTAGTAATCTTTACAGGAAAAGGGGTTACTAGCCCATTGTTCCCGGCATTTTAGTTGACTTTTACAACACGCATGGCTTACGGAGGAAAGATTCTTATTCCACTTCCCCATGGATATAAAAGGAAAAGTAATAAGACCAAGAACTATTAAGATAAAATCAAAGAAAACTCAGATGAGTGTGTATAAATAAATGTGTACATGTATGTGTAATGTGACCTAAGTGTAAGTAGAAGTAGCAAGACATACCTGTAATCTTGCATATTTATGAGACAGACAAAAGACATCAGCAATCCTACCATCATGTAAAACAATCACAGGCTTTCATTTTACACTCACTTGGCAGGACGGTAGTAACTCCCTGGGTGGTTGCTGTCTACCAACCTACTACTTATTTCATCCTTCTCTCACCTCAAGCAAGATTGTCACATTTCCTTCATCCTACAATTCTCGAGCATAGTGTTTTGCATTTATTTAAACCTACTTAGTTCTCAAGCAAAATGTTCATACTTCCTTCATCCCTCTCTGTTCTCAAGCAAGATGTTCACACTTCTCCCTTCTATGTTCTTAAGAACATAAAAACATAAGAAAGGAGGATCACTGCAGCAGGCCTGTTAGCCCATACTAGGCAGGTCCTTAACAATCCATCCCACTAACAAAACATTTGCCCAACCCAATTTTAATGCTACCCAAGAAATAATCTCTGATAACTATCTACTCATTTGCAAGTCCCAATCAGATCCAACCCCTCTCACTCATGTATTTATCCAACCTAAATTTGAAACTACCCAAAGTCCTAGCCTCAATAACCCAACTAGGTAGACTGTTCCACTCATCAACTACCCTATTTCCAAACCAATACTGCTATACCTGCTAATCAGGTCCTCACTCCTACGTCTGCCAACATCGTTGCCTCCAGCACTGAGACAGATAATAGGATTTCTCCCATTACCTCTCATGATGTCATCCAGACGGCTAACAATATCCTTCATCCCAGCCCCAGGAAAACACACTCTCTGCCTCCTACTCCTATCCTTCAAGCAGAATGCCCTATCAATGTACCTAATCTGGCTATCCCCAACAACAACAATGAGGAAATGGTATGGTGATACCGACAAGGCTATTGCTGCCAATGGCCACTGGCCCACATGTATATCACAGCCTGGTTGATATGGCACCTAGTGAAAATATTTGTTGAGTTCCCTCTTGAAGACTTCTACACTTGTTCTGGCAGTGCTTCTGATATCTTCTGGTAAGATGTTAAAAGAAACTATACCACAAGCAGGGCTTGAACGACTCTCTACCATGGGTTCAAACCCCGCCCGTGGTATGGTTTGTTTGCAATCACGTCATTACAACTTCATGAGTCAAGATGTTAAAAGGCCTGGGACCAAGGATATTGATATAATATTTTCTTATTGTGCCCATTGCACCCCTGCTTTTCAATGGGTTTATTGTACATTTAATCTCATATTTCTCACTCCCATATCTCTCAACTGCAACATGGATAGTTTTAAAAGAGTAAACTGTGTTAGGAAAAACTAACCTCTGAAGATCTAAATAGCAACATCTCTCTTCTAAAACCCAAACTATTTACAAAAATTAGCATTAGAATGCATATAAGCATTAAAATGAAACACCGAAAAATGGTACAAATTGTATATACGTATAAACAATAATTTTACTATGCAATACAGTTTCCCATAACGTACCAAAATAAATGGCAAATACCTAAACAACTTTCAACCATTGCAATGTGCTGTACATGACCTGCTTGAACTGAATTACTCCTCTTACACACACTTTACAAAATAAATTTTTCTGCCACTTATCACTCACAATTGTCTGGTTACAGTAGAGGTAATGCACAAGAATTGCAAACACTTCGGCCGAAATATTGTGGAGGGTGACCACAGGAATGCGCGAGTCATGGGAATCCCTCCATTCAGTTTCGTGAAAATGATCTCGCAGCAATGCTTTGAAGTATTCACTCCGAGGACAAAAGAACATCTGTTAGAAAAATTATTAAAGCTTAAAATTGCTATTTTTGAAGAAGTGTGATAACAAGATATAATATCTGACACAACCACATTCAGAGGAAGACGATAAACACAATCAATTCTTTATGAATTAAATAAAATATCACTCAGTAGTATATATCACTATTACATTCACTGAAAGCACTAAACCAGCAAGTCACCAAGTACTGCAACTTGCTGGTTTGGTAGATAGGGAGGAGGTGTAGGTGTTGAGAGAAGGACGGTAAATAGGAAAAAGTGGGATCACAGTTGATGTAGTAAATCTGGGTCAGTTAAGAAATCATAGAATCCATAGCAAAGATGAGATTGTTAGAGAGAGAAATATAAGTAAAGCAAGCATCAGAAATGAACTGGTATGCTTTCTAATGGAATACATAATTAATGAAGAGGCACTAAGCTAGTTAGTTTTAGGAAAACTTTGTATACTTATTCAAAAGAAATCCCATTATATATTATGAAAAGCATATGTACCTACCTTGTGACACATAAATGGGTGACCATCCACCATGAAGCAGACATCAGCAAAAGGTGGCTGGTCCTGCGTGTTACAGAAGGGCATTTCTGTGGGCCAGAAGCGGAGATGTGGGGGCAGTGTGGCCTGAGTGAGCTCTCTCAGATCTGCTCCAACACTCTCTGACCCCATACCCTCAGACGAGTCAGGTTCCACCACTACAGTAGTCACCTTTACCAACCCATGTTTCTCCATTTCTGAAAATGGAATCTTAAGTGAAAAACATGCTATTTATCATGTTGAATTTAGCACTTAATGATTTTTTTCTCTTCTATTTTATCCTCTTGCAAAAAAAAAAATGTCAATTAACAGCTCTAACTATTTTCACGTCTACCTTTGTGTAATATTTCTGTGACTGACTGGCGTTAAATCACTTGCCCACCTTATCAGCCCTACTGAGTCTGGTGGGAATAAATACTACCTCATCTACCTATATTCCAGTTTTGTACCTATTTATATTTGAAGAAAAAGTTTAGACTATTATATGGGTGTCAGCTAATAAGGTATCCCTGAAATAGTATCTTGAATTGGTTGCCTGAATTGTTGTCTTCCTCCATAATTTTCAGTTGTTACTTGAGAATGCCTGAGTCAACCAGCTTCAAATATTCAACACTGGTTTGCTGTAAGTATAGATTATTATTATTATTATAATCAAAAAGAAGCGCTAAGCCACAAGGACTATACAGCTGTAAGTATAGAATTATTCATGTTGCTACTGTGATGCGTAGGTACCCTCTAGTCAATTTGTTATAGACCTTTCCTGATTTTGGTTTGTGTGATAATCTGAGAAAGCCTCTTCTGAATAGCTTTAATCTTTAATGGCTAAAGCCTTTTATGAAAAGAATTATGCATTTCAGGTTTAAACTTTGTAGGTGAAAATTTACCAATTTACTTACATCCTTAATAAACTTGGAATTTTTGGATTTTATGCAATAAATGGAGAATGCCTCTTCTGGTCAGCTTCAAACTTCTAGTGCTAGTGTGTTTTTAGGATGTATAAGTTCTTGTTTACCAGTTTTATTAAATAAATTGTTTTGCATGCAGCAACTACAGAATACTTCTGACTGGCTACTAACCTTAAATGCTAGTGTATCTTAAATAGAGAAATTTCTGGAGTGATTTTGGATAGTGTAAGTGCCAATTTGCTAATTATATTGAAGCAACTGAGAAAATTTATATATTGGCTTCATGATAATTTGTAACTGCCTTATCTAAATAATTTGAAACCTTCAACATTGATAACTTGATCGTTACATTAATGGTATGGTACATAACACCCACAAGTTGATAAACATAACGCCTGGGTATCTTTATTGATGGAGTTGTTTTTGCCAACCAGTAGCAATATCAGTCCAATATGGAGAATAAATACTGGAGATGTTGGATTCATCAAGACTGAGAGGCTCATCACCTCAATATTACCTCTCCACTTCTTCCATCATCTCCAGTAATAGTCTCTTTACTGGGCTGATGAAGCCACAGGTTGGTGAAACGTCTCCATGAGATTAGTTAATTCTTATGAATTCTCATGTCGTGAATCCAAATATCACCTTGAAAAATGCTTATTGGCTATAGGTTTAAAGATACGAGACGTGTAATATTTGATTATTTTATTATAACGTACAATATGTGTCAGCATGTTATAAACTAATCTGTACCTACTCTCTGCCTTTTTTGCTTGACACTTGTAGTGGGCTGAAGAATTATCTCTTGCCAATGTCCAGCAATAGTCAGCAAGTATTCTTGTGCCTCATTTGCCCTGGTACCATTTTTCTATGGCTGAAATATCTTGGTGAAACCTTTCACCATGTTTGTCACTAACTGCCCCACAGTTCGCTGGAAAAAAAAAGTCTAAATGTGAGTCCAAAAAGTGGATTTTAAATGACATGCTACATCCCATGTTCATGTAAGCCTTGATGAGGTTTTCCACCAACTCTTCATAGTTGCCTTCCCTTCTGTTTCCAACAAATCCCTTCACTACTAACTTATATGCTTCCCAAGCAGCTTTCTCCTCCCCATGAAGGTCTGATTCAAAGTCACCATCTTCAAGAAGCTCTCGAATCTGAAGATCACTTCTTCTTCTTCTTTCTTCTTCTGTTGGGGTTTCAGGGCCACTGACAGCATACGCCGTATCGAGCCCGGCCGTCCAGTGCTAGGAGAGGGAATATCGACCAAAGTGGAAGAATGTCTTGATTAATATCATATGTCTCTGATACGTCCTGAAGCCAGCAGGAAGGAGCAGGTACAAGCCAGTATCTCCTGATGGTCCAGAGGGCGAAACCCTCCCCGTTGAGGAGGACAGGTAGAGTGAAAGTGTGCACCCCAAGTGTGTGCAAGGCTGCACGGAGAGTAGTCCGTGCAGAGTGATAACATGGGCACCACAGTAGGAAGTGTTCCACCGTCTCAGGCTGTGAGGGACACCACTGGCAGTATGGAGAGTCCGTCATCCAAAGGCGTTAAAGAATGAGCCGCCAGTCGCGAGTGCCTGACTCGAAGGCGAGTCAGTACAACGTCCACCGAGCGGTTGGGATGGCGAGCCCAAGGGCAGGGGCCATTAAAAGTTCAGACAGAGCCCAATGCCGAAGAAGAGAGGGAGTGTGCAAGGCCCTCTTGCCACTGATGATGGATTCCCTTCCAGACAGCCCTTGTGAAATCACTCTGGCTCAGGGCAAGAGGGGTAACAGTAGGAAGTGTGTGCGCGAGGGAGGCCGCCCGATCTACCACTTCATTTCCCCAGATTCCAACATGGGCGGGAACCCACTGAAGGGAGATGCTCCAACCTGGGCTCCGCAAGAAGCACAGGAGGAGAGATTGAGTCTGACGAACGAGGATGAGCAGTGATCGTGGACGGGCAGAGCACAAAAGTGCCAGGGAAGATTGGGAATCAGAGAAGAGGACCAGTGGTTGTGGGGGAATGTGATCTAGGACAAAAGCCTAGAGCCTGGTGAATGGCGAAGAGCTCCCCTGCCAGAACAGAATGAGCAGGGTCCAACCGCCGCATTTGACACAGGGAGAGATTAGCGAAGAAGGCCGCAGATGATGTAGAAGGGGGGGAGGACCGTGCTGAGAGCCATTCGTGTAGACAGAGAATGAAGAGCCATATGTAACAGAGCAAAACTCTTCAAACAGAAATGCAACTAACTGAGGGGGTTCCCTGTTCTTGTAATGCCAATCCAGGTGGATGTATCGTGTCAGGTCCAGCCAGGGATGTGCCGGAGAGTGGAGAGGGGAGGGAGTCACCACAAGTGCAGGAAGAGTAAGGCAGGTCAGAGAATGCTGAAGACCACTGAAGACCCTCTCTTATCTTAGCGTCACTCAGTGAGGGGAATTTTGATGTTAATTACGAATCCCTGACCGGATTTGTCCACAGCTTTTACAAAGTTTTTCATAAGCCCCAGTTTTGTGTAGTGGTGGTAGCAAAATTTTGTTTGGTTCAATGAAAGGTGGATGTTGAACATTTTTCATCCCAGGCTCCAATGATTGACGAGGTGGCCAGTCTCTCCTGATGTGGTTGGAACCTCTTGCCCAGCTGTCCCATTCACATAGAGAGCAGCAGTACGTGGTGTAAAAAGTGTTTGGCTAAGAAAATCACCTACCTTTCACCTCAAAATATAAACCTGCACAGCACACCCACCTTCTATGACTAGTGGAACAATAATGAAGGGCAGCGAGACTGTGAGTGTGGTAAAAAAAAACACTGTCGCAAGCCTGTTGGAACCTGCTGTGACACGTAGGTGTATATTGAAAAGTTAAGCTAACAAACAATTTTAACCATGATATTTATTATCAGTGACATCAAATTATTTGGAAATTGTTACTCTGGTCTCAGAAATTTTTTGGCTGTTGTTTAGGTATAACTAAACAATGCCTCTTTTAAATGGTTCTAAATTCTGAAATCTGGTGTATCTTATTTAGTGGAATGTTCAAATTGATTTTTGTTAGTGTTGGTGTTAATTTGCCCTTTTTAATAACGAAAATGAGATATTAGTTTCCATGCAACAATTGGGGAATAACTCTTTTGATTAGCTGGTACTGTATTTACCTGCATTCGAAAATTATGCCTCATTCTGTACAATTCCTTTTAAGTCAAGTGAGCTAGAGGGGGCTGGGTTGATGAGATAAGGGCATATCATTCTTGGATCATGCAGCAATCGAAAACATTAGTTATTGTAGTTTTATAAAATGCTAAAACCAATGAAGCCGTATGGTCATTCTATCCATTTAACGAGACAGGCAAGTTACCTATTCGTACAAGTGACTGAAATTCATTTGAGAGGAGAAATTAAAATACAATGGATTATATTACCAAGCACCCAAGGGATACGTTACTGAGTAAAACCTGGATATAAGACACGAGATGGGGCTGAGGAGCACTCATAGTTTCAGCTTGAATGTTGGTAATAATACTATATCTATTTCTTACTCATTGTGAGGGAATTCTGTGATGCAGACCAAGGTTCGTTTCCCAGTGTTCCTTACATTCACGATGCTAACATTTGTCTGTATTAATGGACCATTGTTACCAGGCAGCTGAGTGACTGGAGGGTACAAGAAACTTTGAGGCATACTTGGCACAACAGTAACAACTTTAAAGCCTCAGAGACTGATTGGGTCAGCCTGAATGGAACAGAGATCCACCTGGCAAGGATACATGTCCTCTGACCTAGTCGGATTTTTGCACAAGCATTTAATGTATCAACTGAACCAAGTAAGACTGATACCTGAACAGGATAAATTAAATTCTCATTTTCTCTCTCTCCAAAAATAAAACCAAACCTAATGAGATTTAAGAATCTTACACAAGACCTAATAAAAAGTGAGCATCACAAACTAAGTAAACAAGTAGCAAGATTCCACAGAGGGAAGAGTTCTGAAGACCGGCTCTGAAGAACAGCATACAACACCATCACAGATAGCAAGTCAGTAGGTACTAAGTAAATAAATTGTCAAAATAGCAACTGAACTTTAATTTCGATAAATACAAAAGTAAGCAAGCTGTTGAAATCGAAGAAAGTGGCACAAGAGCAATAAAGTGGACATACTTGTAGCTTTAAGTGAATGGTAAATACTTTATCTGAAATAGCTCAAGGGATGAAGTAAATGAAAGTAATATTATATGTACGGTTATATATAGGTGGACAAACAGTTGGCATCAAATCCACAACTTCCCATTAAACAAAACTCATCTGAACTTCTG